AAAAAGGAAAGCCCAGACTGTCTCCTAAGATGCTGCTGATGGTTTTGAACTGCTGACCATGCGGGTTTTACTCCAATGTGTAACCACTACCCCACACCAGCGCTACCACACACACACACACATGCATGGATGCACAAAGACACACACACAGGCTCTTTAAAACTCAGGAAAAGAATCCATTCTCGACTCAATTCTTCAACAAAAAACTCTAACTCACATACGTGCATATGTGCACACGCGCGTGTATGTGTGTAGCCGCCACAGGTTGTTTGTCTCCAGAACAGGAAGATGTCCCACGTGGACCTGACTCTGGATGCTGGACTCAAGCTAATGGGCCCCAGTTTTTCCCTCCAGGCCTCCATTTGGCCAGTGAGCGAGACGCTCCAAGACGCAGGTGTGGACAGTCCTGGCGTGCCAGGTGAGGACACGTGGAAAGAGAGCTAGTTTTAGAATCAGACGTAGCTGGGTTCACAGCCCAGCAGCGCCACTGTGGAGGAGACTGGCAAGTTCCTTCCTCCGACGACGCTCTGTGCCTCGGTTTCCTTATCTGCAAAATAGGGACACAGCCAACAGTTCTCACCCCTAAGGCCGTTGGGAGGAAGAGGCATCCAGAGCGGTTTTCACACGAGTAAGGCCATGTTACACACTACTGCTCACTCTCACATGCTGCTGGAGAAGAGGGAAATGAAAGAAAGCCTACCACATACAACACTACCCGGAGCAGTTAGCAAATAAACTTGAATACTGACAATAACAACGTGCTGTGTACAAACGTGGTGCCTACAGCAATGGTGACCAGGATGCGCGTCATTTTCAAACGTGCTCGGGGGCCAGGGCTGCTGTCCACAGCACTGCTGTCCACAGCACTCCGGGGGCCCAGGGCTGCTGTCCACAGCACTTTACAGTCGCTCATGGATGGCACTGCTTTGCTGTTGGCAGAGGGTGGGGGCGGGGGGCGGGCAGGGAGCAGTGGGGCTCCCTGATGGAGGTGGTGGGCTGTGCCAGACGGGCTGTGGGCTGAAATCCTGGCACTCTGCCTCAAGCTGGCGAGGTTATAGATCTTCAGCCAGGGACCTAGCCTCTCTGAACTTCTGTCTCTCCATCTTGGAAAGGCGACTACGAGTGCCCCACACTCACCCACCATCAGAATGCGAGGAGTCGCCACCCTCCCAGCCCCACCCCACCCCGGAGCACAAAGTGATACAGTAACAGGCATTTTATTGGGTGGCAGCAGGCCCAGCCCCGTTGCCACCTCACAGTGTAGAACTAGGTACATCAAGCACACCCCCTCCCCCGCTGGCAGCACCAGCACCCCCTGGCCACGGGTGCAGTGAAGGTAGGGGCACGTGGTAAGGACCCTGCAGGAACCCACACTATTTCAGTCGCCTCCAACTCTACACCCCAGGTTTCCGAGGGTGCGATGTTTCCAGGAGCAGGGCTTCAGCGGGTGGGTGACTGCTACCAACCTTCGGGTGAGCTGTTGGGTGTTTAATACTATGATCCTTCCTGGCACTTTCAAGGTGCCCTGAACCCCACCCTCCAGCCACCCCCCTGGGATCATCTGGAACCCATCCAGAGGGACAGTTTGCAGGGGCCATGAGGGCCAGGCCATAAGTCATTTACATGCCAAGAAGGGTCAGTGCCTCAGGACCCCGGGCTGGGTCTGGCACTGGGCACTGGGCACTGGGAGAAGGGAGAGTGAGGCTGTTTTCTCCCAGCCCAGGGGGCACAGAGCCCCGCAGAAATGCCGCCATTACAGGCCCCAAGCACGGCCATCTCTAGAGGCAGGGCCAGAGGAGCTAAGGGAGAGACAACACAGGACATAAGTGCCCCGCCTCTAGATCATAACCCTGACAGGAAGGACAACCCATCCCCAAGTGGAGTCGGCCAGGACCAGGCAGGCCTGGAGGGCAGGGGCAGGGGCACCTGGTGAAAGGCACTTGGACATCTCAGGTGTGGTTAGATCGGTAGGCAGAGGTGGCCGCAGGCTCCCCACGGGTGAGGAAGGCGGGCAGCTTTGGAGCAAGGTTCACCACCCCTGCAGGCCGCCACACCCGAGACCTGGTGGCCTCGGGGAGGAAGCAAGACAGAGGTCAGGGTTTGACGAGGGTTCTAGAGCTGCCTCCTTTCCCCCAAGGGGTCTCGGGAACAGTTTCATCTCCACTCCCCTAGTCCCTGGCCCACAGCAGGGAGGAAGGACTCGGGGCAGAGGCGGACAGAGAGAGAACCAGTCAGGCACTGGACAGAAGTTCCAGAATGACCAGCACGGTCAGAGGGGCAGCCCTGTTCCTCACCCTGACCCTGAGTCGTGGGCAGGGAAGGCCAGCGGGCAGGCCAGCAGGGCGACAGAGGTCGTGCTTGGTGCAGGTGGAGGGCCTTGGGGGACCCGCGCAGTCTGCAGTCAGTCGTCTGGACCGACAGGCAGGTGTAGGCAGGCGGCGTTGAGCGGGCTCACTGCATGTAGGAGTAGCGCCAGTCACCCAGAGGCTGGTGGGTCTCCTTGATGACCTGAGGCGAGGTCCAGCGCAGGACGTAGTGCGGGCCCCCGGGCTTGTCATTGGTACCTGTTGAAGAGGCCGCATTGAGGCTCAGCAACAGCCCAGGGCAGATGGGAAAGGAGTGGGGAGGAGGTGAGTAGAGGAGGCGCAGTCTGGGCAGCACTAGGGAAACGCCAGTGGGACACCCAGGAGACGTGGCCCAGGGCAGGAAGGGGGCTGTAGAGCTAGAAGTAAACCTTCAGAGCAGGCCCTGCTGGGCAGGCCTGTGATCAGCACTTCCAGACTCCACCTACCCCACCAGCCAGGGGCTTTGGGAGGCAGGGGAAGTCTGGACCAAGAGTTGGACACCTGGATCCAGCTCTGGCTCTGCCATTAGGCAGCTATGAGCCTTGGGTAGTCCCCGCCCGCTCTGAGCCTCTGTATCCCATGCGCAAACAGAAGGGATGAGCTCTGAGGTCGGGAGTCTGAGGGTAAAAAGCTTGGGTGCTGGAGCCAAGTCCCAGCAGGCTCACCCTGCAAGCCTGCGGCCTTGAGCAGGCCACTGCCTATCTCTGGGCATCTCTGGGAGGGAGGGTAACCATGGTCCCTCGGCCCCGGTGTGGGAGAACAAAGCAAGTCACGATGAAGGTCCTGGGGCCCGGCCCGGCCCACAGGAAGCACAGGTAGCTGACACCCTTGGTGAAGGAACGGGGGGCTCCTGCTGGAACTTGGCTCCCCTCGGGCAGGGCGACCACTTACCAGAGGCCCGGGCACCCCCAAAGGGCTGCTGGCCGACCACAGAGCCAGTGGACTTGTCATTGATGTAGAAGTTGCCAGCAGCATTCCGCAGCATCTCTGTGGCCTCCTGGACAATGTCCCTACAGGGACAGGGCAGTGGTAAGAGGGCAGCCAGCCCCTCACCTCCCAGCCCCCCAGAACCCCTGCTATAGCCCACGCCAGACTCAACCCAGAACAAGTGACCCTGGCCAGACACTTGCTGTGGGTCCTGGGACTTGGCTCCCTCCTCTGTCAAGGGGGTGAGTGCTATGTGGGTCACACCCAGGGAGCGAGCCATGTGACGCAATCGTCCTCTGGAGCTGTGAGGAGCCCCTCCACACACAGCCTTTCCCCTCAGTTCAGCTACACCCTCAAGTGTATGGGAGGAGGGAAAATGCACAGCCCCAGACCCGGCATCATGAGGCCCAGGTTCGAATCCTGCCTCTGCCAGCCAGCAGTGAAGTGGAGGCTCTGTGCGCCCTCTGCACACGGGGTCATCATCCTGCTCAAGGGGACCCCAAGAGAGGCTGGGGGCTGGACTAAACCAGTGGCCTGGGGATTCGTGAATCAGGGACGGAGGCCCTGAATATGTCTTTTCAACTAACAGCCGGCTGATTCTGGGTGCCTTGTGGGCAGCCTGCCTGCCTGTGGGGGCTGAGGTGAGGGGCAGGGTGCGCAAGCAGGGAGGCTGCGTCATCACAAGGCCTCGAGCTACACCCAGATGGGCGCTAAGCAGGGCCCGGAGAAAGGAGCTTCAGACTGGGGCAAGCTGCCACTCACTTATCCTGGGCGAACACTGCCCCCGTGAGGCCGTAGCTGGTGGTGCCGTCGACCAGCTGCAGCGTCTCCCTGTACTTGTCATCGGGGTAGACGTACACGGTCAGCACAGGCCCGAAGATCTCCTGAGAGAGAAGCCGCACGGTCAGGCCCTGCACTGAACCCGGGCCCGGGGCCCACCCGCTGTCTCCCCAGTCCCTAGTCCCCAGCCCCTGCAAGAAGGGCCATCCCTGACTTCCTCCTGGATTCCTTGTGTCCCCACCCTGCCCAAGCTCCCTGCAGCCGAGCCCACACCCAAACAGCAGAGGGCCCAGCCCTCAGAAACTGCAGGTGTGGGGACTCCTCTGTGGGGGGGCCCCACTCTCCCACGGGGTTCGGGAAGACCTTGCGACCAGCTGCACCCACCCACAGCCCCCTGAGCCAAGTGCCTGCCCTCTGTGCCTCCACTTCTCATCTGTAGGATGGAAATGGCAGGACACGCCTCCCCTAGGGCAAGCACCCAGCAGCGGGCACCACTGTCCACTGCCACTGCAGTCACCCTAGCTGCGGGGTCACCAGCTGGGGTCCACAGTGTCAAGGACAAAGGCCCGCATGAGCCTGGAGGCCTGAGCAAATGGCCTGGCCAGTGCTCTCTGGGGCGGGAAGTCCCTTTCAGGGCCTAACTGCTATCCTCTGTCCCCTGCAGACAGTGCCACCCTGAGATGGCTCTCTGGCTCCAAGCTGCCCCTCCCGGTGCCTGCCCAGTCACCTCTTTCATGATGGGGTCCCGAGGGTCCTTGCTCTCGATGATGCAGGGCTCCACGAAGTAGCCCACGGAGTCATCGCAGGCGCCCCCCGCCAGGATGGTGAGGCTGGGCGAGGAGTGGGCGTGCTCCAGCCACTTCCTGATCCGGCCGAAGGACTGAGGGGGCGGGGAGGTGGGCACCCCAACACTCACACCTGAAACCCATCCCCATAGGGCCTGCCTTCTACAACAAAGTGGCTGGGCGTGGCGAGGGGGGCGGGGGGGGGTGGAGCCAGGGCAGGTATGTGTACACGTGTCAGTGTGAGTGGGTGTATGTGCATGAGCGAGCATGCAGTATAGCTAGAGGTGTGCCGACATGTCTTCAATCACCTTTGCTGACAAAAATCTTGTTTTCAAGGACTACTGCCAAAATGTTTCAGCCTGTTGCTATTCTATTATTCTTAAATAAGCTCTAGGCGGGGACCGCACATTTACAACTTTAGAAAGGCCCGCTTCCTGGTGTTAGCTTCCAGTGGGTGGACCCCACGTCCAGCAACCCCGCTTGTGCACAAGAGGGCAGCTGGAGGGGGCTGGGGGGGTGGGGTGGCGGGAGGTTGTCCAGAGGCTGTGATCTCTCGGAAGCAGGCAGGCAGGCCTGCCCCTGGGTCCAAACCCCAACCTCTGGCGAGTCACTGGGCATGTCACCCTCTGCCACTCCCAGGACATCTCTCATGTATATAAACACGATATTAGGAAAGATGCATGTTTTCTGTAGGCTTTAATGATTAGGTGTGTGTCGGAATCAACTTGATTCCAGCGGGTTGGGCTGGTTTTGAGGGAAATGTGATTTTGATCAATGTTGTATCAGACATAGGCATGGCCGCGCATCTTCTTATCCATAAAGACCCTGAATCTGTTGATTCGCAGTTGAGGCAGGAAGTCCCGGTGTGGGGTCTGGTGGTGGACAGGCCCCTCCCTGTGGGATCTGGTGTCTTCCTGTGTCTACAGCCCAGGCACCTCAGTCCCTTTGTGCGCCACCGCCAGTCCTCACGTTTATGCGTGCCTACGTGCCCATGTTTATGCTCACGCTGCAGACCTACGCATGCATGTACATACATACATGTAAGCACGCACCTGGATATGTGTGTGTACACGTACAGGTATGAACCTATGTGCCTAAGAATGTGGCCATGTTTATGTGGGCGAAGCTACACGTGTCCACATACGTGGGTAGGAATGTACACATCCACATGTGCATTGACGTTCATGCATGAAGATGTGTGAGCCTGTTGGCATGTGCACACAGGTGTGCATGTGTGAGCCGATGATGCATGTAAGAGGGGTGAGCTGAGCCTCCCAGGGTGCATAAGAGAGGAGCACTTCTCTGCTCATGGATTCTGCTGTTCCGAGTCCAGCGTGTGTGCATGTGCCAGGCTCCGGAGCTGCTCTGCTTACCACAGAGGAGCTGGGCTGTGCCCAGGCCAGGGCTCTGTATACCTTCCTCCCCTACTACCCCACAGTCCAGGACCCCGCCCCCCAGAATCGCCCCGCTGTCTGCCTGTACCTTGGCGTCAATCACGGCAGAAAAGAAGGTCTCAAAATCCTCCACAGGCTGGCGGTGAGGGAGACACGGGAAGGGAGACAGTGGGTGACCGCAGGCTGGAGACAAACCCATACCCCCCCTCCTGCCCTCTCTCCCTCGCAGCCCCCTCCCCTCCCCCCCACCCAGCTGCCCAATCCCATCAGCCCCCTGCCGGGCCACAGCAGGGACACTCACGTTGCCCACTTTGATGCTGCGGTGCTCCTCCAGCAGGCGCCCTTTGATCTGTGGCCACAGCGAGCGGGGCACGTAGAGGCGCGAGCAGGCGGAGCACTTCTGGCCGCTGTACTCGAAGGCGGAGCGCAGAGTCCCACTCACCACGCTGTCCACGTCGGCCGAGCGGTGCACGAAGTGGAAGTTCTTCCCGCCACACTCTGAGGGGACAAGGGGCGGGGGGTGACGCGGCAGCCAGCTCCACAGGCCAGCCACCTCCCGTTCATTCTCAGGCCTTAGGCCCATTCTAAAGATGAGACAGCCAAGGCTGGGGCGGGACACCACGCGCCCGAGGCCACCTGGCCGGGAGAAAGTGGCAGGCTCTCGGGGAGTTTCGGGGAAGGAGCCTCTGGGACCACCAAGGGCGAGTTGTGCAGGGGCAGCCTGCTCTCCACCTGCACCGCCACACCAGTGTGCACCAGGGTGAAGCGAGGGCTGCTACCACTGGTCCTGGGGGCTCACTTCCCAGCAAAGCTCCCACCAGCCCCGGTGGGCTGCTCCGTGTCCCCAGGGGCAAAACACAAGCCCCGAGCTCAAGCCTGGCTGACACATTAACGTGTGGTCTTCCCTCTCCAGCCTCCACCTTCCCGGCTGGAAAACCAGGGCTCGGCACCAGGCCACCTTCCTGGGGCATGCGCCGTCAACACGGGGTCCACGGGGCCTCCGGAGAAGGGGTTTCTGTGGCCCAGGGGCCTGGGCCACCCTGCACCCTGCCCTGGCTCCTGAAGAGGTGCATGAACCCACCGCCAGATAGTCCAATCCCAGCACGGCCCTAAAGGATGGAGCAGAATCCGGAGCGTGTCCAAGCTACCGCTCCTTACTGAGGCACGGAGTCTCATTTCTCTCCCACAAAACAGGTGGTATGTTTGAACCCTGGACCTTGCACTCAGCAGCCCAGTGTTTCATTTACGGTGCCACCAGGGCCCTGTGTGAAATGTGTGTATGCACACGCGCGCACACGCATGCATGCACATGCGCCTGCGTGCCAGAGCGTGAGTTACAGGCTTTGGGAAGTCCTGCTGCCATCCGTTTTGCTTTGCTTGTTTGAACACAACGTGCGCCGAATTTCCCTGACCACCAGTCTCCTGTCTTTGTGCGGAACGATTTCAAGAAGATGTGGGGTGCCTATTGACCCGTCAGCCCCATGCCCTCTCACCCCCTCCTCCCTCACGAGGCCAGTACGAGTCTGGGACATTCTCAGATCCCCTACGCTGTGAGCCATCTCTGTGCTTACTAACACACAGGCGTCACCCCCTCTGAACGTGAACCTGAAAGAGCAGCAGGTCTGCCTTTGGAAGGGCCCCCAACACGAGCCAGGGCGCCGGAGCCTGCACATCGAAAGGAAGTCAGTCAGTTTGGGACCCCGGCCATGGAGCTGATGCAGACTGACAGCTGTCCTAAAGGGCAGGGCAGGGCAGAACTGTCCTGTGAGTTTCTCAACCTGTGGGTTGTGACCCCTTTGGGGGTTGAATGACCCTTTCACAGGGGTCGCCCGGTCATCACAGTAGCAAAATGGCAGTGATGAAGTAGCGACGAAAATAATGTTATGGCCGGGGCATCACCACCACATGAGGAACTGTTCAAGGGCCGCGGCGTGAGGGCGGTTGAGAACCACTGCTCTACGGGAAGAGAAAGCCTGTGTGGAGCAGCTGGTGGTTCGGAATTGCAGAGCCTGCGGTCAGCAGCCTACGCATAACCAGTACACAAGGTGGGCATGTAAGCCACCACTGAGTTCACTTGGACCCAGCATGCTGGCTGGCCGCACACAGGAAAGCCTTGCCCCACCCAGCCCATGCCCCTCACCTGGAATCCCGAAGAGAAGTTGTGACGCTGGCTACCCTCCAAACCTGGAGAAGAGACATCGCCTACTCCTCCTGGCCGTCATGCCAGCCTTGGTCACATGGAGCCGAAAAATAAACCCACAAACCGCCCCTCCGTCTCCGCTGCTTGCTGAGAGAGGGTGGAGGCAGGAGGGAGGTTCTGTCCACCACCGTTGACCATGAACTCTCGCTCAGAGGGACCTTGGCTGAGCTCCAGCCTCCCCCTGGAGCCCTCTTGTCCAAGGCCAATGCCTGAATGAAGCCTACAGATCTGAACCCTCACCCTGGCTCCACCTCTGCAGGTGTCCATTCTGATCCTCCGGGCGTCAGCAAACGCTCATACCGGATGCGGCCATGCCACCCTGCCTCATGCTCAGAGCGTGGCCACGACCACCTGAGGGTCTGTCTTAGGGTCAAATCGCACACAGCGCCGGCCTGCTTCCTCTCCTTCAAAGACAAGCTCGTGCCAACCTCGGAGCCTTTGCGTTTGCAGTTCCCTCTGCCTGGACGACTGCGGCCGGCGCACCAGCCAGTGGCCGCCAGTGACTGCTTACCTACGTTAAAAATAAAGAAGCAAGCCAGGCATGGCCTGCGCACAGCGGACGCATCTCCTGCTGCCGTACTAGACAGCTGCGATGGGGCGCGCCACCACTGTGGAAAGGTCCAGTGGCAGTGCTGGTGCCCAGGGGCTGGCCCCAGGTTTCCTGTGGTTACCTGCCTGGCAAAAGCTCCAAGGGGGCTTCCTCAGGCCACCGCAGGTCAGCCAACTCAGCCCTCTGGTCTTGACCTCTCATACCTTGGCTGCTAACTACAAGGTCCACAGTTCAAAACCAGCAGCTAGCTGCTCCTTGGGAGAGAGAAGAGGCTTTCTACTCCCATAGAGAGTTGCAGTCTTGGAAAAGACCCTGTCCTGTGGGACACTTCTTCAGAGCCCTGTCCCCACTGGCTTCTCTCCCTCTATTGACTCGCTGCTTCTTGCCCTCACGACTGGCGTCTAAGTCGGCGTGAGGGCAGGGGCTGTGGGGGGTTTATCACATTGCACCCCAGTGTCCAAAACAATGCCTGAGCAGACCCTTGCAATTTGTCGAATGAATGAGTGAACCAGTGAATGAGTCCATGCACACTTTCCATCATAGGTGCGCTTCTGGACCCCCAGGGGCCATCAGGGCAGAGGTTCTGACCTTAAAGGACCCAGCTCTTGGCTCCCATGGGGCCCCACCACCTCCTCTTTCATGATTCGAGTGGTAGGGGGTAGGGGGAACTCAAGGGCCACCGGCAGGACAAGGAACGAACTCTTACCTCCAGCCAGGCGTGGGAAGGTCCGGAACCGGTCCAGATTCTGGGCCACCTGCTTCCACAGGTGTTTGAAGGTGCTGAAACCAGAAGCGGGCACGGTGGGCATCTGGGTGCTAGGCTCAAATACCTATGTGTGAGGGTCCCAAGGGTAGGGGGGAGCAGGCTGACTGGAGGCCCCACCAGAGGCAGGGAGGGCTGAAAGCCCAGGGGCAGTACCAAGGGCAGCAGGAGGTGGGCAGGGTCCCGTAGTAGATGGGGGTGGGGGTAGGGGTAGACGGTCATAGTTGAACAGGCAGCCTTCTGCATCTAAGGGGAGGGGGCAAGGGGCGCCCTGGCAGGTGGGGGCACAGTGGGGAAGGGCCATCCTCTGAAGCAGGAGAGTGCAGGGTTGAGTCCTGGCTCCGACACTCATGGCCGCGTGACCTTGCACTCAGTGCATGGCCTCTCTGAGCTGCAGGTTTCTTATCCGTGACCTGGAGGAAAGGACCCTCACCTGGCCGTTCTGTGGGTCCCTGACCAGGAGCTGTCCTTCCCTGGTCTGAGCGGGACAGGCCCTGACTCCAATCCTTGGGCTCAAGCTGCCAAACTGAGGTGGGGCTTGGGAGAGGGAGCTCCGGCCCCCGCCCAAGGAGCTCTCCTCCAGGAGGTCTCCACCCCCTCCCGGGACTCCAAGTGTGACCAACCTCAGCACCACAGAACAATAAAAATGCTAATCGCCCGGCAGCCGGCGACACAGTAGCTAATACTAATTTATGACTTTCCTACCTTTAAGCCCCTGGCTCATCAGAGCATGGCAAATGGGGGCCAGGCTGGTGCGGCCCGCTAATCGGCAGGGCCCATGGGGCCTGCGGCTGGCAGAGCGGATCTTTTGGAAAACGGCCTTCCTCAGCAGTTCTAACACTGCCAGCGGCGCCCCCCTCTGCAAACCCTGTGGGGGAGGGTGGGGGGCTGGCACAGGAAGAGAGATGCCGCTGCAGCGACCTAGACACCTGATGCCCCAGATTACTCGAACCCTTGGCCTCGGGCACCTCAAACTCACAGTGACCAGGCTGGAGTGTCCGCTGGATCTTCCCTGCACCCTCCCACCCGCCCTGGGGAAGGAAGCCATGCCCGATATTCCTTCCCCAGACTACCTGGGCCCCTCTCAACCCCCGGCAGGTGGTCCCCACCTCCATCTCCCTTCTATGTCCTCCTTTAACCCACCCACTCCTTCCATTTGGTCTCCACCCTGCCCCCAGCCCACGCTGTCCTGGTCTCTCCCCTCGCAGGCCTGCAGGGACCAGGAAGGCCAAGAAAGGGGCCAGGCTCTGGGGCTGATGGGGACAGGGGTAACTGGAGGTCATCACCCTAGCCACCCGATGGTGCCACCTAGGGCCACCGGGGTGTCCAATCACCCAAGAAAAGCCAAAGTTTCCACTTTGATAAGACTGAGCCATCACTAACGGGAGTCAGAGAAATCCAACTTGCTGCCTGCTCCCGCCATCCTTGGGGTCAAGCCCCGGCTCCTTCGCAGATCAGCCAGCGGCTTTGCCAGGCACCCTGGTGGCACAATGCGGAGGCACTTCATGGCCAACCAAAAGACTGGGAGTTCAAACCCACCTGGAGCTCCGAGGGGAGACCTGGAGATGGGCTTCCGGAAAGATTAAGCCTGGAAATCCCTGGGTGGGGGAGGAAGGGCGGGGTGGGGGTGGGGGTTGTTAAGGCACCTTTCTTCTCTTCTCTGTCCTGTGGGGCGGCTCGAAGTCAGACCTTTGTAGTCAGCCCCCTGTCTATGAACCCCACATACCCACACACAGCAGGGCTCTAAGAAGCACCTGCTGAGTGGGTGAGTGAGTGGGTGGGTGAATGAGTGAGTGAGTGGGTGGGTGGGTTAGTGAGGGAGGAAGGGCGGGGTGGGGGGAGTTGTTAAGGCACCTTTCTTCTCTGTCCTGTGGGGTGGCTTGGAGTCAGACCTTTGTAGTCAGCCCCCGTCTATGAACCCCACATACCCACACACTGCAGGGCTCTAAGAAGCACCTGCTGAGTAGGTGAGTGAGTGGGTGGGTGGGTGGGTTAGTGAGGGAAGAAGGGAGTGGGGGGGGGCAGGCAGGTGAGTGAGTGAGTGGGGAAGGTCACCATGGACAGCTGCCTGCCTCCTTTCAAGCCTGCCCTGCCCGTACTTCCCAGCCCGTGGTCCCAGAACTCTCCATTCCAGCCACAGACGAAGGTTTCTCATGCCCAGGCATGGTGCTCACTGCTGCCTGCAGGCCTCCGTCACGCTGCTCCCTCTCCTGGCACTCTCCCACCACCCTTGCCCCTTTCCCTAGCCAGCCCCTGCCTTCATTCTCAGCTCAGAGGCCACCTCCTCCAGGCACCCCAGCTCTCCTGCCACCCTTCCCCTTCCAGGGGCCGAGATGGCACTGAAATCAACACTCCCCGACACCTGGGCCAGTCCCGTCAACCCTGCCAGGTGGGGTCATCACCCCAAGGTGCAGGTGAAGAGAAGCTCGATGACATGAGGTAGCTCACCCGCAACCCCACCATGGGGAGAGGACGTGTCAGAGGCAGACCTGTGGGGCCCTAGCTTGGGGCCCCCGGACAGCAGATGGTGAAGTGGTACCCTGCACTTCTTCGGGGCCACTGGGGGCCCTCAGCCCAGCGCTCTCCCTGTTCGGGACTTACGGCACGCTGCCGGTGAAGTTGATGCCACAGAGGTGCTCCGAGCTGGTGACGGTGTCCCCAAACACGGGCCCGTCCGCCGGCACAAACTGGATGATGTTGGGGGGCAGACCGGCCTCCCGGAGGGTGCGGTAGACAGCATAGCTGGCCAGCATGGCGGTGTCACTGGGCTTCCACAGGACCACGTTGCCCTGCCAGCAGGTGTGATGATGACTCACAAAGCCAGGCCACCAGCCCCGACTTTTACCGCAACCCCGCCACAGCCACGCCTCTCCTCAGACCGCCACCTTCCCCCAGCTCCCTAGGACCAGTCACAAGTCGGTCAGCCCCTGTGCCAGCCAGGATGTCCGGCATGGAGCCCGGGGCCGCCCTGTCTGCTTCCACTCTCTGGTCAAGGCGCCCTTCCTCTGTGCCGCCGCCCACCAGGCCCCGCCCTCAGCAGTTCTGCCTGGGCGTTCGTCACTGCACTTATGCCTGCTCACAGGTGCTCTGCACCGGGCCGGGGCCGCAGCACAGCTCCTGTGTCTGCCCAAGGTGGGCACACACAGCTGGGCATGCACGGCTGCACACACCCAGGCAGCAGAGCACATGCTCCATGCTGTCACTCCTCCTCCGTGGCCCCAACACCCTATCTGTCCCATCATCCACTAGTCGTGCGGCCTGGATACACAAGCTGGTGCCCCGTGACTCAGTTACCCTGGTGAGAAGCTCTCAGCAGCACTGGGTGCCAGTGCCACCACTCAGAGGTAAGCTATAACCATCATCTTTAAAGGTGCCAAACCTAGCCTGTGGTCCGGAGTCCACTCAGTCGACCCTGCGTGTTTCCAAGTGGAATTGCTCTTCCCACCCCGCCCCCCACCCCCAGCCATGTTTTCTTGGCAGTAATATTTAAGGGAGAGGGTCTCCAGGGATTTCTGGGAATAGCAGCCCCCACGTACAAGGTCGTGCTGGCCTGCCACACACGCTGCCTCCTTGGGTCCTCACTCCCTGTCACCTAGGCATCCCTGCTACTCCTGCTGGGCCTCAACAACACAGAAACGGTCAGGGCCTCACCCGGGGTCCCCCAGCCACAGGCAGGATTCAAACCCAAAGTCTTGCCATGGCCCCAAGCTGCCTCCACCTCCTATGCTTCTCCCACGAGCGGGGCAGGGACTGAGAGGCTGCCTGCCAAGCCCACCCTGCCCCGGCCCACCGCTCACCATGAGGGCCGGAGCCCCGGCCAGGTTGCCACCAATGGCGGTGAAGTTGAAGGGAGAGATGGCCGCCACAAAGCCCTGGGGACGGAGGTGGTGGTGAGGGTGGTGCTCAGAGGCCTAGCCGCCCTGCCCCGTGCCCAACCCTGGTAGGCACCTCCAGTCCCCGGTAGACCACGCTGTTGGTGCTGGGCGGCACACTGATGGGCTGCTCGCCCTCCAGCTGCACGGCGAACTTGGCGTTGAAGCGGAAGAAGTCGATGAGCTCAGCTGCAGCGTCAATCTCTGCCTGGATCACTGTCTTACCCTGCGGGCGGGGGTCACGGTGAGCAACCCCAGTGGGCGGAGGCGTGTGGCCACCAGCACCGGTCCGTGCCCGTGGTGGTGGTGATGGTGGTGGACTCGGTGTGGGAATCAGAGCCCAGGGCCAGCCTGCAGCGAGGTGGTGCTGTGGTACCACTTCCGGCGTGAGGGGGCACCCCTCTTCTGGGGATGGCAGTCGGAAGGGGACCTTCAGGGCTTTGGAGAACCCAAGCTTTCCTACCTCAGAGGCCCCGGGTGGCTTCCAACCAGTGGCTTAAGGTGAGCAGCGAGTCCTTAACCGCTGTGCCACCGGGCTATTTGCACCCCGCTGTGATCTGTGCTGTGAACGGGGAATGAGTGCTACAGAAAGCTGTAGCAGCCATCCGTCTGGCCCGGAAGGTTCAGGAAGTATCGTGGAAGAGGTACAGTCAGGGCGGGGCCTCGCTGGGCAGATGGACACAGGGAGGCGCTGGGGGGCAGGGCAGTGTCCCGGCTTTGTTACTGGCTTCAGCATAGGCAGGGTTGGCCTGGCAGGGAAGGGCTGGCGCAGGCGCAGGGACTTGACTTTGCTTAAAGGGGTGAACTGCTGGAGGTGTAGGGGCCCTGAGCAGTCCTCCTTCTGCCCAGGCCAGGGGACTGCACAGGTGACTCAGTCCAGGAAAGGCACAACAGAGCCTGGCCTGGAAGGGAGATGGCAGGGGGAGCACGCGACAAGGTGTCCATGGCAGGCACTCTGCCGAGCCCCAGTCCTAGGCCCTGTTCCCGAGGACACCCCCACCCTGCCCGCCCACCGGCCCTCTGAGGCTGTCTGGCTACTGTGCGTAGAGGGAATGGGCACGCCCACCCCCAGGCCCTGGCACCTCACCTGTCCCACCATGGTCTTGGCGAGGATCTCAGCCCTGCGAGGCCCACTCAGCAGGTCTGCCGCTTTCAGGAAGATCTGCGCCCGGTCGGCCACAGGCTTCAGGTCCCACTCTCTGCGCGCGGCCAGGGCGGCCTCAATGGCTCTGTTGAGCAGGGCCTGAGTGGGGGAAGAAGGGGTTGGGGGCTTCCTCCCTGCACCCAGAAAGCTCCAGGGCAGCCAGAGGGAGGCAGGGGTGCAGGCAAAACCCAGCCGAGGTACAGGAGGAGCTGCAAAGGGTCTGGGGGAGAGCGGGATCACAAGAGAACGGTGTGTTCCCACAGACGTTTGAAAACCTCCCCTCCCGTTGACCACACGAGTCAGCTCCCAGATTCCCTTTCACGGCCAGACCCCCGCCATACCAATTCCCTGCCTGGCTTCCCACCCACTGTGGCCCTCGTCCTGATTTCCAGAATCCACCAGGGTGCCCACTGCAGTGGGCATGTTGGACACACTCCAGGCCCAGCCAAGGCAGCTCCTCATTGGGCTCCAGTTATCCCTTGCGTGCCCAGGCTCTGTCCAAGTACCAAGCAAGGGCTCCCTCAGTGCCAGGCCCAACCTGCCCATGGCCTGAGAGAGACACAAGCCCCCACCCTTGACGTCTCAGGGACTCACCTTGTCTGCGTAGCAGAACTTGGCCACCTTGTGTCCATGATTAAAGGGCTGGAAGAGAAGAGGAGGGTGGGGTCACTCACTGCCCAAGAGGGGCCAAGATGGCAGCAGCTCAGACCTGGGCCTTCCAGTCCAGCATTTCCCAGGAGAGTGCAGATAAGCCCCCATCAGCAACCCCAACCCTAAAACCCACCACTGGAGAATCCGCCCCACTCATGGCAGCCCATGTGTTACCCCCCAGAACCACCCAGGCTGCTATCTTTTCCAGACTTCCACACCGACAGGCCTCCCTCCTGGGCCTGTTGCTGGATCAGGTGTGAACCACTCATCCTTTCAGGTCAGCAGGTGAGCATAAACCAGTCACTCCACCAACAAATACCGACCCAGTTCTCACACCACAAACCAAAACCAAACCCAAGTCGATTCTGACTCAACATGGCCTTAAGGCAGAGCAGAACTGCCCCTGTGGGTTTTCGAGACTGTAAATCTTTGCAGGAGCAGACGGCCCCTCCCCACCTCAAATGCCTGGCTCTACAAGGATGACCCGGCGGCTGCGGTCTCTGGCCAGGACAGGGAGGCAACCTGGGAAATGCATGCCAGACGTGTCCCACGAGCTCACTGCCTCAGAAAAGCCCAGGTGCCAGCCCCTCCCGGCAGCCTGAGCCCCCCAGGCTGCCCGCCAGGACTCCAGGTGCTGGGCCTTCTGGTCACTGACACAGCTTACAGGACACCTCCGCCGACCAGGACCTCGGAGTCACTGCTGCCCACCTCTCCACTTCTGACGCCTCCCCAAGTTGGAGTCCACGAGTCTCTCCCCTGCCTGGGGGGTGGCCCTCTTGGCTCTTCCCCTGGCCCCGGCTGGGTCATGCTCCTTGGCAGAGGCCCCTGTCTGCCTTGCTCAGCATGAAGTCCCAGCATCCTACACCGAGCCTGGTACCCAGGGGCTTGGCCAGTGTTTGCTGAATGATGGAATGAATGTGTGGACGGGATTTGATCATCATGATCAAAAAGGGCCCATAACAACAGATCGCCAACCCAACCGCACCTCTTGCCGTCAAGGAGAGCCTGGCTCACAGCAACCCCGGGCATCAGAGCAGAAGTGCTCTCTGGGCTTCACTTGGCTGTAGCCTGTTCAGAAGCGATCTGCCGAGACTTTCCTCAGCAGTGCTGCTGGGCGGGTCACAAAGCACGTGTGCCTCCCAGGGACCTCTCCCAGCAGACCACCCCTAAGGCCATCGGGGCTCGTCCACGGACTCTGCGGAAAAGAAGAGCCGACCTCATTCTTCCTTCTGGCAGCTGTCTTCCAAGTTTACAAGTGAAGGCACGGAGGAGGGACCCAGCCGGACAGATCCTGGCACGGGCTTTCTACCTGCTCCCCCTGCACAAAGCTGGAACCAGGCCAGCCCCTCCTCCCTCCTTCCCCTACTCCTGTGTGCGTGTGTCTGGACACAGACACATTTTGCTTCTGTTCAGAGCTGAGCTGGGTCATTGCTTGACACTCTTGGGGTTGACCCCATCATGGGCGTGATAAGGGATGAAAGGGCGAGGCGAGTGTCCCCCACTTGAGATTCGAGCAGGTGCACCCACATGTTAACCCTCAGGCTCCCCCGGGGAAGTACCACTGTCCATTCCATCAGCCCCAAAGTCACAAGAGGGCATCACCCTCACCCCTGGACCTGCAGACCACTGGGACACATGGGAGGGTGACACTCACTTGTCAACACAGACCAGCTCCCCTCCCTCCCCGTAGGCAGGCTGTTGGACGGACCAGCTACTTCTCTGCAAACACAGGCCGGACAAGGGCCAGGCTGGCACTGCGGGAGTGTGCAGTGGGAGTGCTGGGAACTGGGCCCACTGGAGAAGGCCCTGCTGCCCAAGTCCACCCCTGGTGGCCTGCAAGAGTGCCAGTCCCCTGGGCCCCATTTCCACTCCTAAGAGACGTCAGGCAATTGGATTTTTTTTCAAATAGACATCTCCCAGTTCTTAGGTTTTAGAGAGGCGAGGCAGGGGAACATAGCTTCAGGCTGTTAGCTTTGCAAATGCAGGTCCAGACAACGGGGCACCACCCCAGGGACAGAAACAGGGGCACCCCCTGGGCCTGAATTTGGATGATGTCTTTGGCATAACACCAAGGGGGTGCCTGGGAGACGGCCAGTGGAACCTCTGAGCACCAGCAGGGCACCGCCTGCTTCCCTACCCAGGCCTCCTCTGACGCCCTCGGGAGATGTCTCAGGAGTGGCTGCCCTTCTACCAAGCAGGTGGGCTCTGGAGGGGCTATAATGTCAACACTACGTGAGGAATGCTCCTCTTCCCTGGGCCTGGGTGGCGTAAAGCTGGGTCTGGGGCCCTCTCCGGCAGGCACCCAGGGCTTCAAAATGCTCTGTTTGCCACTTGTCTCCCTGAGCCCACCCTCTGCAGGTCCCGTGCTTGGTTCCTCCGGTCCATGTCCTTCTCACTGCCCGGAAAGCTTAGCTGGCTGCACAGAGCTCTGCAGAAGCAGTCAGGGGCCAGGGGAACTCATTTCTTAAGGAACTCTGAATGGGATTTATTCTGGAAAGCCTGACTTACCCAGGTTCATATTCCAAGGTGCTCTGGTGGAGGTTCAACCAGAGCCTGGGTGGGATGGTGGGTTATGCACAGGTGCTGCTGACCAAAACATCAGCGGTTCCAGCCCACCAGCAGCCCCACAGGAGGGAAAGAAGGCAGCCTGCTTCCAGTAGGATGGATGCCTCAGAAACCCCATGGGCAGTTCTACTGGGCTTCACAGGGTCAGAATCATTTCCGTTCCCGAGCCCGTTCCTCCCCCACCTCCACCATCTGCAAAAGGATCAGCTAAGACCCTGCTCCTCCTACCTCAAGGTGGGGTGGCAGGGACCAGAGGAGGAGCCACGTGAAAATGGGCAGAGCCTCAAGGAAGAGCCCATGGGAGCCCTGGCAGGAAGATTTCTGGGAGGCAGTGGCTTTTGATCAACAAACCCAAGCCCCACAAAGTTCCCACCAAGTTGATCCAGACTCTTGGTGGCCCCATGGGTGCTGGAGGGGAACTGCATACCAATGGCGCCCCCATGTGTGTCGGGGTGGAACTGCGTCCCACAAGGTGTCACAGGTGTGAGCTTTCAGAAAGCACTCACCCACCTGGGTTCTGGAAGGATCCACTCTACCAACTTCTCAGTGAGTAGACGGCACTTACTGACAGTCCCCAAACCCAGGGCTCCTGTGAACTTGTCCTTTCTGTGGAAGTGCAGGGCCATGAACTGCTACTACATGACCTGTAACTCCCACGGAATGAGGAAGCAGGTTATGCAAATAAGGTGTGTGGAATCTTTGTGGGGATTGGACACTCTGCAGGGGTGGGATTCGTCTGCTTTGCCAGCCGGCGG